CAGCCGGGACAAAACAAGCTAAAACCTACTTTAACTAGAAATGTGATAGAAGAGTCAAGACTCCTGTGTATTCCCATAAACTCATAAAAAGGACATGTCATATCCCTTCAACTTTTAATAATCATGATATCTAAAAGGTTTTAATTTACACTCATTGAGAGAAGATGGGAGAAGGGTCAGACACAGCTAAGAAGTACAAGGATCTCAGGGAATAGTGGGTCCTCCAGTTTAATTAAGTATAAGTTCTGAGTACCATCTGATCTGTAGCCTATACAACTATGAGACCAGAAGACCTAGATGGTGCCTGGCTACCACTGTCAACCACTTGGAAAGAGATCTATGTGGGAGATCCTGGATAGAGAGGGAGAACAATGTGGAACAAAAGTCAAAATCATTTGGAGAAATAAAAAAAGGGGGGGGGGAGGACCAGGTTTGCTGGTCCGATAGAGCCTGGTGGAACCACTGAGACTATGGCCCCTAGCTGTCTTTCAGGTCTGGAATTGAACCCACACCTGTGACTTCCACCCAGACAAAAGACAGGCATGTGAGATGAACATTTCCCTGAGGTAGATACACTCCTTGGAGAGAACAATCATGGGAGAAAGAAGGGCTGCTTATGCACAGGGAGACAGCTCAGGGGGCAGGAGTGCATGGAGGGATGGACACAGGGAAGAGGTAACTATTGGGAGGAAATGGGAGGGGAGCTGTTGCATTGTGGTAAATTGTGGTCAGTGTCATGAGACAAAGTGTATGTGAACTGCTGTGTGGAAAGTGAATTTGCTCTGTAAATTTTCACCCAAATCACAATAAAAAATTAAAAAATAAAAAGTATAGGTTCTGAATAAAAGATTAATGGAACAAAAGAAAGGCACCATATATAGAAAGAAGACCTCACCAAGGTAAAACTTACGAGTCTGTAAGAGAACTAGGATAGAATGTGGCTAAACTGAAAAGGGACAGAAGTAGATAAAGATGGATAATCCAAGGATCATTGTTTTGGTTACCTAGTGCTGTTCTGACAGGAATATACCACAAATGGGATGGCTTGAACAAACAGGAGTTTATTCTCTTACAATTTGGAGGCTTTAAGTCTGAGTTCAAAGTGCTAGGCTCTAGGGGCTGGATGAAAGCCCCTCAACCTTGGGCTTCAGCTGTGCCTCCTACTCCCGGCCCACTGAAGCTGGAGGCTACATGCCGGGTTCAAGTGTACCATAAGCTAGAGACCCGTTCCTCAAGGCTTCTCCTTTTATACAGGAAGCAGACCACATCTCTAAGGCAGCTATTCAGTTGCTCATAGTAGATGCCACCATGGGGTGGATTACCAGTCTCATCATGGGGAATACTATAACCAGCTGTCCAGCCACTCAACCAGGCTCAGCCAAGTTGACACACAAACTTAACTATCACAATCATCTAATGATGCTAGATTCAAAGAACAGTTCAGCCAATTACTGGGAGAGGTTAGAGTGGCTCCTCTAGCCCTTCCTCCAGGCCTACAACTATAGCCCAATAGTAAACAGTTATCATGAGACTTGCCCAAGCCCGACACAGCCCCATCACAGTGAGCACAGGTGCTCCTGTGGTAAGGTACACACTGGAAAGGTGCGCTCGCCAAGGTTTATTACAGAGAAGGTGCAATGTGGGGAGAATTGACAAATTTCCAAGAGTCCTAGAAATGATCGATTCACTCAAGGAATTGAATTGAAAACAAAGTGGTAATTGATTTATGTTCTCTAAATAAACAAAAATCAGGATTGTGTAGGATGGTTTTCTCTGTTATGCTCTTCTATATTTTCTACAGATTTGTAGATTTGGGTTCTCTCCCAATTCTCACCCCCACTGGTCTCCCTCCTTCTTCCTCTCATCATTTCAGGCTCATTCCTTTATGTTCAGTGTTGTCCTCTCCACTCTGCCCTCTCTTTAAATACTTGCCTGTGAGAAATCAACTTTAAGTCCATAAATGTAATCCCCTGGATCAGAGTCTTTCAAATGTTTTACCACAACCCACAATAAGAAACCTAGTTTTACATTCGGAGCCAGCACATACATAAAATCATATATAAAAAACAAACAGAAGTTCTTTGAAACATTTACTCTTATCATATGTGATAGACTGATCTTTCCTCTTCTACCCCATTTTTCTTTTTTTTCCCCCTAAATACTAAGGTTTTTTTTTGTTTGTTTGTTTTTTTTTTTTTTTAAGGAGCTCTGGTGACATAGGGAGTAAGGCATTTGGCTGCTAGGTAGAGGTTGGCAGTCCAAACCCACCAGCTGCTCTGCAGAAGAAAGATGAGGCAATCACTTCTGTAAAGATTTACATGATTGGAAATCCAATGCGGGTCGCTATGAGTCGGAATTGACTTGATAGCAGTGAGTTTTCTGGGGTTTTTTTTATAGCAACCCTGAAGTTAATTTCATGACCCAACCAATAAGTCACAACTCACAATTTGAAAGATTTAGTAGATAAGATACACTGATCTATCTCTCCAAACAGCAATATAAGGTAGTAGCTAAGACTGTGTGGATTCATGAAACAAAATATGTGAATTGCTGAACAGAAAGCTGATTGCTCTGTAAAGTTTCATCCAACTCCCAATTAAAAATTTGGAGGAAAAAAAATAAAAAGTCTGCCTGGATTCAAATATCAGCTCTACCTGTCTATCTCACTTCCTCAGGGTATAAGTGAACAGGATCTATCTGAAAATTGAGGACTAATCAAGACCAACCACATAAAAGACTTCCCCCCAAAAAAAACCTACTGCCATCAGACCGGACCCGCATTGGGTTTCTACTTCTTTACAGAAGTAGATTGTCCAGTCTTCCTTCTTCAGAGTGGCTGGTAGGTTTGAACCAATGAAATGCCTTAGGCACTGCACCACCAGAGCTGCTAAAGGACTTGGCACATAAAAAGCATTCAGTTAACAGCTATTAATTCTTAAATGGTTTATGGGCTTTTTTTTTTTTTTACTTTATAATGGTAAAAGATACATAAAACTCTCATCTTAACCATCTAAAAACGTACACTTCAGTACATTCACAATGTTGTGCAATCACAACCACTATCTAGTTCCAGAATATTTTTCATCAAAAGGAAACCCTGCACCCACTAAGCAGTCACTCCCTGTTCCACTCATCCCCCAACCCCAACCCCTGGTAACTCCTACTCTGTTTTGTTTCTAGGTCTAGGACTTTTTTCAATAATAAATTAACATGTGAATAGAACAGTTTTCTAAGGTGGCAAGAAGTGTTCTTTGGAGATGTTAGTTCTCTTTGCCTGAATCAAGGCTCAAGAGCCAAGATCAGTTCACAAGTAAACCTGTGAGCCACTTTGGGTAATTCTGTGATCTATCTCTGCGTCAGAAATCCCCCACACTTTGGGTAAGTATAATTACTCATGCTGGTTTGCAGACCACTCTTCCATGAGTTCTGTTAGGGCAGGCAGGACCTCCACAGCCTGGCTAAGGCTATGGAAGAGACGACTTTCTGTGTCTGCAACAGCAGAATGAGCAAGGCCCGCAGAGGATGCTTCAGACATCTTGAGCTAAGACCGAAAAAAGAAAACTGAATGTCTATTAAAGAATAGTCTTTGTATTGAGGCTCCAAACTTTTGCCGTCGAAAAGAAAGTGCATTGGACACAGAAGGAAAATTCCATTTCTTGGCTTTACGATACATATCATTTCCTTTTGGGGCCCCACCCATCGCACAACCCGATTTTCCGCCCTTCCTTTGGAGTCTGGAAGGCTGGACAAAAATAACTTTGTTCTTCCCAGGATCTATCCGGCGGGGTCACTCATTCAGGGAAATAACAGTAGTAGGGGGGTTACCTTGCCAAGCAGCACTGTGATATTTTTGAGAAACAGTGAAGGCAGGATTCTTAGGCCAGAGAAAGAAATGTCACCAAGACACACAGAGGGTGTGGACCGGGAAACAACGTCCCAGTAGGTCCCAGCTGTCCAGCCATAGAAGCCAAAAACTGTTTTTTCTCGCCACTTGACACACACCCCTACCCCACCCCCCGCCGAGTTTTCCATAAGAAGCAACCCTCCTTACCCGGCAATTAAGCCGCAGAGTCCTCAGTCCTTTCCAAGCCCCCTTCCTCCCCCCTCCCCCCGCTGACTGCTTTCCGGACTTCAGGAAGCAAAGCACCGCCTCATCAAGCGCCCACAGCACAAGCCCAACTCCGCTTACTTTGGTGCGGCGGTAGGGGTGAGGGGTGGAGGGCCGAGCCTCGGAGCCCAAAGTCTGACTCCGGGGGCAGCCGCTGGCTGGAGTCGCTTGTTTTCGGGTTAAGGGGATGGGACAAAGTACTCTCTAAGCAGAAAACGAGCCCAAGAAACCTACCCAGACTCCGAGGAAACCGGTACCTAGGGTCACGACAAATTTGGGGGAAGTCCTGAACTGGAGGGGACTTGAGAGGGACAGAAAGGAATTAGCGATCTCGGTAGACAAACAAAGACTCCAGGCGCGCCCCAGAAGTCAGTGACAGTGCGGATCCCTGAGTTTGGAACTTGTGCTTCATCGCAAAACACAGAAACCAGGGCTTCACCATCGACCCACCAAAAAATGGGATCTCAAGAGAAGAGACGACCTAGGAAGCCGCCACTTCAACAAGTGCCGGGTGATATACATCATCTGCAAGTTTGGACCGGCACATGCCTCCAGCGCTCCGCTCCCCGCGCCCTCCGCCTGCGCGCTCAGACGAGAGGCTCCAGGCTTCCCCTTCGCGGGAGCTCAGTGACTGCTGGCCGGCCAAAGAGAGAGCCCCGCGTTCGAGGTGAGGGCGCCTTGCAGGGAGGACCCCGCGAGGGGCGAGGCTGCGGGGGCTCGGGGAGAGGGCCGCTGCCTCCAGGGCGCCAGAATGCGTTCGTTGCACCCCAGGTCCTCTCCTCCACCGAGAGGCGGTGCTAACACCGAGGGCGGGGTTCAGAGGTGACAGCACTCGGGTCCCTCTGCCAGGAGTGAAGCAACTCCAGAAACTCCACGGACGCCCCGCACTGACCTGAGATGGTCTCCTGGTAACCTTTGGTGAAGAACTGCATGGCCATAGCCGCCCTCCAGGGCGTCTTGAGCAGCCCCTGCCTCTGGGGGTCCTCGCCCAGCGAGCGCAGGATGGACGAGTAGGCGGCCGCCAGGGTGGGAAGGTTGAGCTCGTTATCCTCCTCGCTGCGCGTCCGCTCCTCCTTCCAGCTGTCCGCGCTCTTGGCCTCGGGTCGTGGGGACTTCTCCGCCGGCCGGCTCGGCCCCGGCCGCGGCCGCTCCCTATCTGGAAACCCATTGCTGCACCTGGCGCCCGGCGGCTTCTCCGCGGTCGCCCGCACCGGACCCTTCTCCATGGACACGCTCCTCCCGCACGCTGGGGCGCTTCACCGGCTGCAACTGAACAGTCACCTGAGGAAAGGAGGCGATTGAGCCACACGCACTCTGAGCCTGAGGCAGCCGCGGGTTGGAAAGCTCGGCAGGCTTCTTATTTATAACTGTGCGGCGCCACTGTCGCCGCGGGCGTTCCCATTGGCCAAGGTCGCCTTGCGCCACGGTGCTCGCTCCGCCTTCCCACCCCACCCTCCTGCCTGTCCTGGGGAAGGGACGGCGGCGCCGGAGGGGCGCGCTGCTAGGTCTGCTCGCGGGCTTGTGAACGGCCTTGGGCCCCGGAGGAGGCGCGGACGACTCGGGTATCCAACATGCGCGGGCCCAGAGAAGTGGGTTGGACCCTTGGGTTGTCACCGAGTGAACGGAATTCGAAAGAAGGCAGATGTCTGGAACCCCGGAGGGAAGAGTCACGGTCTGGGCACTTGGGCTGCGAGTCTGCAGCCCCGGGTTGCCCTGGGCTCAGATCGTGTCTCTGGCAGGTCGCCTTCTCTTGGGCCAAAGAAGGCGCTGCATCAGAAGTGCTCCGGTTCCTTCGCCCGGTGAAAATGTCAAACAGGTGGCCTCCTCTCCAGGGAAAGGACCTAGTTTAAAAAGGTAGCCAATTCTTATGCTTTTAAGGCAAGAGAATAATGTGATTTGAAACCCTTGGATGTTCGTTAAAAATATGTCAAACGCAATGGTTCTACAAGTGTATTTGTATGTTTTATAAGAATTCCCAGGTGTATAGTAGAGCTGACAAGGAGCAAGGTTGTGGTCACTTCTTGGTCACAGCCAGCTACCCAGAGGGAGCAAGTAGTTGAACCTGTGGGCTCGGGACCATAGTCTCAGGGGACATCAAGCTCAATTGGTGTAACATACTACACAAAACATCGTTCCACCTCCTACTGTGATCAATAGTGACTGAAATCTTAAAAGCTTGCAAGCTGCCATTTAGATGCAACAATGGGTCCCTCTTCCTCCAGAGCAAAGAAGAATGAAGAAAACCAAAGATTCATGGAAACAATTGGTCCTCGCAACTGGTACACCATGTGATCCTCAGCCTATACGACTATGAGACCAGAAGAACTAGATGGTGCCTGGCTACCACTGTCAACCACTCGGAAGGGGGATCTATGTAGGAGATCCTGGATAGAGAGGGAGGACAATGTGGAACAAACCTCAAAATCATTTGGGGAAAAAAGGGAGGGACCAGGTTTGCTGATCTGACAGAGCCTGGTGGACCACTGAGACTATGGCCCCTAGCTGCCCTTCAGGTCTGGAATTGAACCCACACCTGTGGCTTCCACCCAAACAAAAGACAGGCATAGGAGTTGGACATTTACCTGAGGTAGATACACTCCGTGGAGAGAACAATCATGGGAGAAAGAAGGTCTGTTTATGCACAGGGAGACAGCTTAGGGGGCAGGAGTACATGCAGGGTTGGACACAGGGAAGAGGTAACTATCAGGAGGAAGTGGGAGGGGAGCTGTTGCATTGGGGTAAATTGTAGTCAGTGTCATGAGACAATGTGTGTGAACTGCTGTATGGAAAGTGAATTTGCTCTGTAAACTTTTACCCAAATCACAATAAAAAAATGTCAAACGCACCTGCCACCTGCAAACCCTGTGGACGAACAAGTGTTACACCAAGTAACCCTTAGGTGAATATTTAGGAGAAGAGTGTTTGTGATGGCCAGAACTTTGGCCCTCGAGAAATTGATTTGCAAGCAAAAAAAAAAAAAAAAGAGTTTTCATTTAAAACCCATTTGTGCTTTGCAGCAACGCAATTATCAAAATTTGGCGCTTGATCATTTTAGAGTGACGTGGTAAAGCTCTTTCCCTAGACGTTAGTACAAATTGTGAAACGCTATTGATCATCTGGACCCTTAACCAATGACATCTGCTTTGACTGTTTTCTCTGAGATTAAAAAATTGACTTTTCCCCTCACTTTGCAGGATTGTTAGGCTGTAATGTCAAAGGTGAATTTTAAGACGTATATCAAATTAATAGGTCATGAATTGCTTCAAAATGTTTCTAATGTTGATTTTCTGAGAGATGTAGATAGGTATGAATAGGCTTAGGATCAGACAAACCAGTAATTATTCTATATTAATAAAATAGTTGTCGTTGTAATGAATAACTAGTATTTTTCCCGTATTCATGCTATGATAGATATATTTACTTGTGAAGTAGAAGCAATGCCTTTTAGCCAAATGCCCAAAGGTAATGTAAGGAAACTTTAAAATCACTGACATATAAACAGTTTAACAACAAAATGTAAATTGTCAGCAGGGGTGGTTATAAGAAGAAAAAGAGAGAAAAAAAAAGTAGAAAAGGGAGAAAAACTGAGCACCCACAACCAGGAATTATAACAGTATCCATGTTTCTAAAGCGGCAAGGGACCCATTTTCAGCCTGGAACCAATCTGGTATTTATTCTTTCTGCTCTCATTTCTAGAGCAGCAGCAGAACAGAGGCCCAGATGAGGGAAAAAAAACAGTGACAAATGACTCAACACTGCAGGCTGTTTGAGAGACTTGCCAAAGGCAATGGATAAACTAACATTAGGCTTTTGACAGTGTTGGTTGGAAAGAAAAAGCCAAAGTGCATTTGGTGAAAGGGAGCTCTGGTGGTGTAGTGCCTAAGGCATTTGACTGCTAACCAGAAGGCTGGTGGTTCAAACCCACCAGTCACTCCTTGGAAGGAAGACTGGGCAATCTACTTCTATAGTGATACTCCCTCAGAAATCCAAGGAGGACTTGCTATGAGTTGGAAATGACTCCACAGCAGTGAGTTATTTTGAGTATTTGGTGAAAGTTCTATATTTGAAATTCTAACTTTGGAAGAGATTCTGGATCAAGGTGGAAAAGAACCCAAGGGAAAAAAATGTCTTTATCCCATCCCTAAGTCCCAGAAGCAGAACTGTGGAGTTGACAGAACTCTGAGATGTCTTACTAAATCCCCCAAGTCTAGTGGAAAGAAAACTGAATGGAATCCTTACCTTCCTTCTCTTCTGCTGGAGGAGGAATGAAACAACTTCTGTAGGGAATATAGGAGAATGTGAACACTGGACCAACTCTCTGAGATGGGAGGGAAGGCTCAGGAGTCCACACTAAGTTGAGGTAGGTATCCAGAGTCCAAAGGTATTTCACAAGGAAAGGGTGGACATCCTTCACATGGTTGATTCTGTGTCCCTGGTACCTCTACCACATCTTTCACAACATCTCAGAAGAAAGAGCAGGTGTTAAGAAAGAGGGATGCTAAGAAAGAGGGATGCTAACAGAGAATGCACACTACCTAAACTGAGCTCTGTCCCAACCTTCAGAATTCTTCACAGAAGAAAGAACATAACACAACAGAAATTGCTCAAGCCCCAAACTGTAGCTCAGACAGGGAAACAAATGGGCCTCAGTTATAATGTGAGACTATCAAGAATCATTCCCACCATTTCAAAGAATGAGAATGACTAGAAACAGCCAGAAGGCAAAGGAACAGCATGGCAACGGAGCTAACACAATACAGCCAAATAACATGAAACTAAATAAAGGAGAAAAGAACATTCCGTTCAGAAAACAGAATGACAAAAAAATGCAACTAAGAAGAAAAAGCTCAAGAAAGAGAAAAAAATTTCTTACAAATATTTTTATTCTAAAAAACGATTAGTAATCTCCAAAAGAGTCAAAAGAGAACCTACAGATTGGGGAATAATATTTGGCAATGACATATCTGATAACGGACTTATCTCTAGAATTTACAGAAAACTCCAACACCTCAACAACTAAAAGACAAATAATCTAATTTAAAAATGGGCAGAAGACATGAATAGACACTTCACCAAAGAAGGATATTCAGGCAGCCAGCAAAGGATATTCAGGCAGCCAGCAAATACATGACGAAATGATCACGATCATTAGCCATCAGAGAGATGCAAATCAAAACAATAATGAGATACCATCTGAACCCAGCACTAGTAGCAAAGTTCAACAAGGCAGAAAATAACAAATGCTGGTGAGGATGCAGAGAGATTGGGACTTTCATACACTGCTGGTGGGACTGTAAAATGATACAGCCACTGTGGAAAGCAGTGTGGTGAATCCTTAAAAAGTTGCAATTAGAAATACCATTTGACCCAGTCATTCCATTACTAAGTATATATCCTAAAGAAGTGAGAGCCAGGACAAGAACGGATATATGCACACCCATGTTTATGGCAGCACTATTTACAATAGCAAAAAAATGGAAACAGCCTAGTTGCCCATCAACTGAAGAATGAGTAACCAAACTATGGTACATACATACAATGGAATACTATGCAACCCTAAAGAAT